TTTTTAAAATATTCAAGAATAATTACTCGTAGTGACATTATATTAGTATACAAGGAAGATAAAAAAGGTTACAAAATACATTAAAAGTTATAAACAAAAACAGTTTTATCACAAACTTATGGAAGTTAAAGAACCCAATAATATCTTATTTAACTGTTACCGCATATTATGTGGACTCTAATTGAAAGTTGCAGAAGCGTGTGCTAATTTTCTTACACTGTCTCCTCCTTATACAACTTATGAAATTGTTGAAACTTTTTACAAATCACTTAATGAATGGGTTCTAGAGAATAAATTGTTCATAGTGTCAGGTGACAACACTTCTAATAATGACCTAGCTATTATATTACAAAAATAATTATGTATTACTCAGAAATAAAAAGTATTTGTTTATTCACTTTTATCTAGCTACTACAAGTTAAGTTCTTTCATAATTGCCAGTACGATTTTGTTCAAGAAAATGATTATTATGAAATACCTTTTAAATTCAGCTCCGTATTTTATAAATAAAATGATTTAGAAATTTAGACATGCATGCTTAAACGTGGCATATTGAGTTGTGTTGCTCATGGATGTTTTGCTTCCTATTTTTAGGGCCTTGGAAAGAGAATAAACCTATCGATTACTAGTTCAGGATCTAATGCGAGTATGTATAGTTATTCTTCTTTTGATTTTTGTACAGTCATTGCTAGCTTTTATTATGTTTTGCTTTGTCTTCTATTCTATAACCATATAACCATATACTATATAGTATATATTTTGTATAAATATTTTGATGATTAAATAAAAAAAATTGTGGATTAGTTATTTCTTCTATAGTGAATGTTGTCAGTAGCTTTGTATTTTATAGTTATTTTAAAGTTTAAAATGGAATATGAAATCTACATTTTTTTCAAAACTAGATATTAGAATTTTTCTGTTTCTGTCACAATCCAACATGTATTGACATGTTTTAGCTGAGGGTCTTATCGGGTTGAATTGTGAATGGGCATGTGTATCCTATATTTTTCACAATTCTATGTTAGGTGGGAAACGCCTTTTTATTGATGTAACAAGACAAACTTGTTGTGCCTATTTGTTATCTTTTTTTTTTTTTTTTTTTTTTTTTTTTTTTTTTTTTTTTTTTTTTTTTTTTTTTTTTTAATTTTCCTGTTCTCTACTTTTTATTGGGCATTTTACTTAAATTTGTGACTCATATCACCTGCTATTTGTTAATTAAATTATTATCCTTATTTTTTTTAATGAAAATGCGATGGAGTTGTATTACTCATTTTTATTTGCTTGTGAATCTTTATTGTCCTGTTTGATGATATAAGAAGAGACAATGATAGCTGTTTGTAAAGCTTTGTATTAATTTTTTTCCTCTCCTTTATTTAATTTTTGTTAATAGTCAATGTATGTGCTTAGGTCTTATATTTCCACGAAAAGAAGAGAGGTGGATCTATCTGCTTAATGCCAAATTTAATTTAATTTTTTTTTATTTTGCAAAATGACATGAATTTTAAACCACCTAACAATAAAAAAAAGTTATAAAAATGTCTTTCTAATCGAGCCTGCAATCGAGTCGAGCTCGAATAGTTTAATCGAGCTCAAGCTAATAATGAGTCGAGCTTGAGCTTGAGGTTCAGATACACGAGTCGAGTTTGAGCTTGAGTTCTGAGCTTGAGTCGAATTTGAGCTCGAATGTACATGCTGTGGCTCTAGCTCAAACAGGTTATGGCTCGAGCTCGACTCATCTCGTTTACATCCTTAGTGTTAATGGATGCCAGTTGTTGGTTTGCATCAAAAAATTATTGACTAGAAACTTTAGAACTTGAGAAATGGTGTATAGTCCTATTAAGAATATGTTCATCAAACATTAATGGCGGAAAACCATCAATTATTGGTAAACATCAAATGACAGCCAATAAGGAGTATCAATAGTTTGGGAATTAATAATGCATTATCCTTTGAGTCTTTCTCGTAATAGGAGAGAGAATAAATGATCACATAGAATCACATCAACCGTAGATAACTTATCGTTAATGAATCATGCATTAGTGGATGACAAACATCATGCGTTAATGAATAACAAATTAAATATTAGATTTTTGTTATTGAGAAGTGATCTATGATGATCAATAAGAAAAACTAAAAGTTGGGTGGTGCTTGTTGGTTAACTCAATTGCATAGCTGATAGGAGGGGAAACATAATGATTGAAAATATAATCAGTTGTCATTGATGACAGATGAATGTTAGACATAAGTTATTAATAGGCATTTGAGATATTTTTCTTAATGTTTTATTTTTCAAACCGCAATCATAATTTCTATTTGGTTACTATTTTTTTTCTTAGGTTAAAAAAATTTAGTTATTAGAAATATGCTTTCTATCATAGCTTTAAAAAAATATTTTCATAATAGGAGCTTTGTAAAATAGTAAGAAAATTATTTTAAATGAAACCTAAAAAAGTTCTTAATGGAATAAGCTTTTATCATCTTTTGAAAAGTTGAGAAATAAATGAATTATCAATTAGAAAACAACAGGTTCAGACACATTTGAGAATGATGGGCTAAAACGACACGCATTAAACGAACGAGAAATTATTGGGTGCGGAGTGCGGACGTAGCTCTGTGTGTGCAAACGAATTGGGTCGCGCCACGTGGAGCCCATCTTGACCCCACCGACTTGAAGAGAATGTGTGCTCTGTTTACTCGATAACCCGATAACACGAATCATCCGAACTACTTGAAAAATGCGCGGTACCTAGTAGTACCGAGAGGTACCTAGTAGTACCAAGTAGTACCGAGCGGTACCTAGTAGTACCTAGAGGTGGGTACTCTCTAGGATTTGGCATATTTCTGTAAGCATTCTAAGTTCCATAAGTTATTGTAGATCTAGGGTTTGTTGTTAGAGTTTATTCTTTATTTTACCGCATCTAGGTACTACTAGGTACCGCTCGGTACTACTAGGTACCGTGCATTTTTTCAAGTAGTTCGGATGGTTCGTGTTATCGGGTTATCGGATAAACAGAGCACACGTTCTCTTCAAGTCGGTGGGGTCAAGATGGGCTCCACGTGGCGCGACCCAATTCGTTTGCACACACAGAGCTACGTCCGCACTCCGCACCCAATAATTTCTCTAAACGAACTGTCCAAGCTTTTGGCTTCAAGTTGTAATTCGGTAATTAATTCCCCAAAAAAAAGTAATTCGGTAATTCCCTGCAATCATGAAAAGCATCTTTTCATGTGTCATCGTCAGGTCGTGTAAAGTCGAACCGAATAACGTTATTTCTTCGCAAGTTAACGTGTCGCGCGTGTCTACCCCATCTGAATATATTTGAAAAACTATTATGACTCTATGACGTTAAAAAAAAAAAATTCCAAATGTGAAATTTTTAAGACATTTAAGCTAATATTATACAAATTTATATATGTAATATATATCATTATCTACCCATCGTTGCTTAGTTTGATTGTTAGGCGAGTACGATTGGGAACTCTCAACCTTTTTTTTTTAATTTTTTTAAATAAAAAAAAAGGGGCCGCGTGTACGTGAACCCTCCTAACACAAATTATGACATCCACTCTGCCACTTGGGCAGATGGTAGATCAGAGCATCTTCAAAGTGCAATGAAGACCTCTAATTTAGGCCACAGGCATTGCTGATCACCCGTTAAGACCCCGTCTAGGTAATACCAACCCGTATTTGATTCTACTAGAGCGGTAATGCCTCTTAAGTGGGGCCTAATCAAGTGTTGTCCAAGATGTTTATGGATTGGGTGCCTCTTCTAGGTCAACCGAGTATTAGTCACACCGCAAAGAGACCTTTCAATAGTAATAGAAGATGAATATTCCATTCTAAAATTTAAATTCAAAATCTTTTAGTTGATAATAAAATCAATATAATATATATATATAACTATTTGTTTCAAATCAATAAAATCTGACATCTGATAAAAAAATTGTAAATGAGAGTATAATAATATTTTCCGAAAAAAAAAAAAAAGATGAGAGTATAATTTTTTTAATAAAACCAATCAATTAATTCTCATTTTAATATAAAAAACAAATACGCAAATACAACCTCAAATTTCTTTTCAAGAGGGAACTCTGTTGCAAATTGGGAAGAATTTCAACATCAAGTGAAAGTTGGAAAGAATTCATGCGTTCTCTCGAATATCATGCAGAATCCCGGCATGTTCGGGCGGCAGGAAGAGCTCCGGCAGTGGTCGAGAAGGAGGGGATTCTCTTTTTCCCCTTTCTCTTCTTCTTCCCTTCTTTTTCTCTCTCTCTTCACTTGAGTCCCCTTTGTGTAGAATGAGGGCTCTATTTATATTTTTTTATGGAGTGGCATAGCCCGTAAATATGCGTGAGATCATGGGCGAATTGGGAGTGGTTTGAATGGACGGCCGATATTGAATCCTTTGATCATGCACCGTTTGTTAGACATTTTAAGGCCTTAATGATGTCGGAATTCGGTGATCTTAGGCTCGTTGGATTCGTCTCGTCGAGCCGCTCGATTCGAGTATAAGCTCGTTAAAATCGAAGACCGTTTGGTAACTCAAATTATGGTTTGAACCTTCCAACAGCGCTTCAGGTCTTTGATTCGGACCCATTTGGACTCGGATTGGGTCGAATTTGGTGTCGTTGGGTTCGTATTTCCGAGACGCTCAATTTGACTGTAGACTCGCTGAAATCGGAGTTCTGGTACTTCCGGAATTAATTTTTGAAGTTTCCAACTAGCTTTTGCCTCGAGATTCGTGCCCTATCAAGCTAGTTTTGATGCCATATCAAGGTTGATTTATAGAAAATCAAAATATTATTTGTCTTTCTTTCTCATATCAAAATGATAAATTGATGGGTTGGTTTTCTTGGGAAAAGATTATATTCTCATTCTTTCTGGTTCGCTTTTTTTTTTTTTTTTATAAGTAGGCTCTCTTTTGATCATCTCGCGAGAAGGTTATGATCCTCTGGGGGACAGGTAAGGTGGCAAAAGGACGAGGCTATGCGTAGAAGTAGGGGGAAGTGCGAAGGGCCCCGTCTAGTCGCTGTTGCTCTTTACTGAGTTTTTTTTTCCTGGATTTAGAGTCAAATCACATCATATCTCTCTCTCTCTCTCTATTTGTTTTGGCCGTTGGATAGCTTTTCACAGGTTAAAGGTTGACAGATTTATATATTGAGGAACCGGCAGAGGAGTGTGGGTTTGATGGGAGAGATTAGTGGAAGCATTTGGAGTTGAAGGAGAAGTGGAATCTCTAGGAGAGAAGACTCTTCTCTTAAACAACTCTTCTTGCTCTCAGCCATTAACGGTGAGGTATACATACTGTAGTTGCTTTGAGTTTGAGTCCTGTTCTCTCTCTAAGTGTACAGAACTTTCAACTTTCTCTTTCTTATGTGTTTTTAGTTTTCGGACTTCTCAGAGGACCAGAAGAAATGACTAAAGATGAGGACTTTAAGCTTCTCAAGATCCAGGTATCCCATCTCCATCGTCTCTGTCTCTCGTTTCTCTACAAAGGAAAGCTTTTGGTTTGGTTTTTGTCAGCTGAGAGAAAAAGTGAAGGGATGGTGATGGCGCTAAGTGCTAACTGGTTGCTTTGCTTCTCTGTTTTTCTTACAGACCATCATCCTCAAAGTTAACATACACTGTGATGGCTGTAAGCAGAAAGTGAAGAAGCTCCTTCAAAGAATTGAAGGTACTCTGCCTCTCTAGTTTCGGCTCATTTGAATCTCTCTTCCTTTTCTTTCTTTCTTTTGATCTATTTCTTGGAGTGTTGGGTTATAAGCTTTTAGCTTTTCAACTGATAAGTGGAACAAACTTGTCTGATAATTTATTTTGGAACGTTTTGTTTGTTAACTAGTCTACATGGGGGAGTGGATTTTATGCTTTTCATGGAAGCCGTCTCCTTAATCTTTTCACAAGGGGAGAGGCACAACTTTTATCCTTTTCCTTCCTTATCGTAAAATCCCTTTTTCAAGATTCTACTAATTCAGGAGAGACGATCAAAATAGATGCTTAATCCTGGAAATATTTCTTTTTGTTTTACTTCTATGAATACTTTGATTATGCTTAGCGGTCCTGGGATATTAGCTGCAACTTTTTCTGCCCAATTTCTGTTAATTTAAACATCGCAAAAAGACAACTTTATTTCAATAGAAGATATCATACAAATAGCAAGTTCTTTCCGTTATGCCAAAATTTCAGCTTTCTCTTCAAAGCATACGAAAGTTTTACCCTTTTCCACTTTTTTTTAGGGGTCTATACGGCCACCATTGATGCAGAACAGCAGAAGGTTACAGTCTCAGGAAATGTGGACTCTGCCACTCTCATCAAGAAGCTAGGTAAAGCTGGAAAGCATGCCGAGCTCTGGAATAACAAGCCCAACAACTCCTCTAATCACCATAACCACAAACCAAACAACAATCAGCAGAGACAGCAAGCTCAGCTCATGAAGGACAACAGCCCTTCTAAGAACAACAATATCAATCCCAACAACAATAACAGCAACAACAAGCCGCAGACAACCCAAGCCCTCATACAGGGCCTCAAGGCTTTCAAGAACCAGCACACGAAGCTCGAATCCTTGAGCTCTGACAATGAATTCTGCGATGAAGACTATGATGAGGATGACGACGATGATGAAGATGATCTCGGCTTTCTTGAGGCGAAATTGAACGAGTTGAACATGTTGAAGCAGGCTAACCCAGCAGCACTTGCAGCAGCCAATTCAAAGAAAAATGATAATGGATCAAGCAGTGGTGGAAAGAAAGGGGCAGGGGCAGTACCAGGACCAAACCAGAATAATGGAGGAATGAAGAACCCAAATCTGTTAGAGCTAAAAGGCATGAATGGTACATCAACCTGGAGCAATGCAGGAGGACCTCAAAGCCTCATCAATGGCTTCCCTTCTTCTGGTATTAATGGTGGCTATGGTGGAGGAAACATTCCACCACAAGGTCTGAGCCAGCCATCTCCCATGATGATGAGCTTCAATGGAGGAAGCCATGGCCATGGGCATCCATCATCTTCAATGCTGATGAACATGAGAAACCTGAATAACAACAGCAACAGCAACAGCAACAACATGAGCAGCATCTACAGTAACGGGAACAATATGATGATGAATGAAAGCAAGTACATGCAGCCACAGCTCATGTACAACAGATCTCCTCAGATCCCTCCCTTCACAGGCTACTATCCAAGCCCTTACTATTACTACAACATCAACAACAGCATCAGCAATCATCAATCAGAGGACTATACTGCTCATCTGTTCAGTGATGAGAGCCAGAGCAGTTGTGCTGTCATGTGAGTGAAGAAGAGAGGTGGTTGTTCTGTGGGGATATGATAAGTATTTAGTACTGTTTAGTTCCTTTCATTTTCAATTTGTTTTCTATTTTACTTTTTTAGTGGATGGTGGTTGCTTGACACTGATACTTCCTTGGGATATTTTTCCATTAGGGGGGTTTCAGTTCAAATTAAAGCCTGTTGTAATGTAATACTTTTCCTACCAAAAACACTATTATGTCATCAGTAACTTCATTGTTCGCTTTGGCTTTCTGGGAAGATAATGCACATTGTGCAGTGCCGCTCTGATGTATAAGAGGGAGAGGGATTTGAATTGTGGTTCTCAAGGTAGTAAGAGGGTCAGTCAACAATGGATTATTTTTGTATACTGGCAGATTTTGTCCCTTACTTTTTGGACAGGGGATATCATATAATAACAACGAAGGCAGGAAGTTTTTTTTTTTTTTTTTGAGACATTTAGGTCATTTAAGGCAAACTCACACATAATGCATACACATAAATTTGAATCTTAGACATCTTAGTTGAAAGCTTAAGCTCTCAATCAATAAGCCTAGGAGAATTGTGTGTGAAGGCAGGAAGTTGAAAGCCACTTTCCACGTTGTGCCATGAGCGAGCGAGTGCAGAGTGCGATCATTTGGTGGGTGAAGGGTGATTGGCGGATGAATCGGACCTGTTTAAAGGATTTTTCAATCCAGAGAGCAATGGCACTCAATAAGCTTAGAAGTTTCAAAGATAATAATATTTCATCAATATTATCTTTCTACTATAATACTTGTATATATATATGATAAAAAGAATATTTTAGAAGCTAGTGGTGATAAACCTGTAATAAATTAAGATAAACTAATCTCAAGGAGTATATAACTAAAGATGTTCCTACATCAAAAGGCTGCTGATTAATCGAGCGTGCGACGGTATCGAATCTAAGTTGGATTGTCATAGGATCCAAATAGAATTTTCATTGGGGGATTCTGATGATATGTGATATTTTTATGGGATTCTCAATGGATCATCCAAATGTAGAGAGGGTGGAATTGTAGCTCACCAAGCAAGAGCAAGACGAGGCTTGTGGGATCCTTATGTTGTTTCATGGGTCTTCAAAATATGAGATAGATGAAGGTTTATGACAAATTATAGGAGGTTACATGTTAATTTGAATAGTTAGTTTTAGTATGAACATGCCTATTTAGAAGTAAGGGAAGAGTCCAATGAAAAAAATAAAAATGAGATTATCTTTAATAATGACAATGTATTATACTTATAAATGTTATATATTTCTAATAAATATGAAGCATATGAGACTAAATAATGTAATATGATAATTCTAATACTATAAATATATATAAATGAATATGCACATCATTGAATAAAAAACAGCACTGCATGATGCTTTTTATTTAGAGAGAGATACCTTAAGTTTTATTTTGGATAAACTATCTCCAAAGAGGATTAGTTTTTTTATTTGAACCTTAAGTTCTAACCTTGGCCTGTTGGTTGAGAGTTTAGGCTTCCAACTAAGAGGTCTTGGGTTCGAGTCTTTGTGTATGCGTTGTGTGTGTGAGTTTGCCTTAAATGGCCTAAATGTC